CTCCGTAGGAAAGTTCTTTCAATCCTGGTACAAGTTTGGTAGATGCGCTTGCCATATATTCCAAATGTGGTTTTACCAATGCCCTATACAAATTTTTGAAAATGGTTTGGTTTGGTTTAATTTTTTGTTTAATGTCCTATTAACAGCTAAGGTCATTTAAGGAGATGCCTTCATGTGTGTAGTGTATGCGTGCTTGCATGTGTGTATGCAGGAGATAGGGTATGTTGGTGTGCTTGCCTACTTGTGATAGCGCGGATCTGATGCCGACTTTATAGTGCAATCTCACTGAAATGCTATGCCGAAGGCACCAAGCACAGCATTCCTCCCCGTCACATTATACTGACAACTGGTGAACCAGTTGTTGCCCTTCCCCTAAATGCTGAACGTTAAGCAGGGAATAACAACTACCATTTTTAAGGACTTTGGTATGTCACGGCCTGGGGACAGAACCCATTGCCTTCCTCACCTGGGCGAACGCTCAACATTCAAGCCAAAAGTGAGGTGTTGCGAAGCAAGGCACTAGGACATAAAAGGCAGTTAGAAGTAGAAAGAAAGACCTAAATCTTTTTCACTGGTAATGCTTTCTTGTGTAGCTTTCTTACCATACTGACCCGTGAGATGATAACTTCTGTCAACCAGGATTGATCCTTTGATCTGGAGTACTTAACATTTATCTGGGTGGAATTTAAGTAACCTGTCGTCTGACCATTTTTGGAGTTGATGTAAATCTGATTGTAGAATTTTTATATCATCTTTGTTACTAGTTTTCTGGTATAACTTGGTATCATCAGCATCACTGCAATATCGTTTATATACAGCACGAACAAGAAGGGTCCCAACACACTCATTGAGGAATTCCACTAAGGACTCCACGAGACCTTGATGATGATCCATTTAACAACACCTTTTGATGCCTATTTTTCATGAAGTCTTTTATCTATTGTTTTATGACCGATTCCATGTGTATAAGGCGGCGGTGACGTACCTTATAAAACGCTTTCAAGTCCATATGAATGACATCAATGTATCCCCCTGCATCTAACAATCGGGTCCAGTCATCTAAAGGTGTAAGCATCTAAAGTGTTGTTGATTAGAAATCCAAATTGGCTATTGCTAAATAAGTTCTTAAATATTATTGACAGGGGTTAACTCAAACCATCTCCAAGTTCCTTTAATGCGTTTGGGTGTATTCCATCAGGACCTGATGATTTATTTCCATACAATTGTATGAGAAAATTCCCAATACTATCTTCGTTACAAGGTGCGCCCTGGAACGGTTGGCTAATGGTTCTAGATTTAAACCTTGGTTTATGAAACAACAACAAGTACATATACGGTTATTTGCAGGAGGCTGCATGGCTGGACAGAAACCCCAAACCAATGATGTTATCTCATATTAGTCTTAACAAACGCCCACACATTGGATGTGAGTGGGAAAATCATATAGTTACAAACTGTGCTGTGACTAATATCTAACTGCCATTTAGAAATAAAGATGAGGAGATTTGTATAAATGTTGTTTCATAAACCATGTTTAAACATACATTTAAACTTAAATAACTTGGTTTGGTTTGGTTTAGTATTTTGTAACCTTCTGTCAACAGCTATGGTCATTTAAGTAATGCCTCCCCTGTGTGCAAGATGCATGCGTGTAGTGTATGCGTGCGTGTTTTTGGAGGCTGCGATATGCTCGTGATTGTCTCCTTGTGATAGCGCGGAACTGATGCCGACTTTATAGTGCTACCTCACTAAAACATACTGCCGAAGACACCCAGCAGGTCACCCCATCCAGTCACATTATACTGACAACGTAATTCCCATTTGACTTGGTTCTTGCATCTTGCATACTCCTGGTATTTTTCTTTTGATTATGTTTGTTTTCCATACATCGAGTCCAAGCCCTATGTTTCTTCTTTATTATCTTGATGACCTCTTGACTTAAAGCCATATACCGTCACTGTTCTTGTTTCCGATCATTGGTTGTTTTCTTTGGTGTGATATAGTTCCCTCTGTGGTAATCATATCCTGTGCTGGGTCTTGTCGACTCTTTCTTTTGAAATGCAAGTTTAAAGGATAATACATAGTGATCGCTGTTTCCAAAGGGACATTCGTATTCTTTATCACTGCCCATCTCTTTTTCATTGCTTAGGATTAAGTCCAAGACATTTAACCCGTTTTCATTTCTGATGCTCTCTTTAAAATTATTTTCCATGGTCACTTCCACTGGATTGAGGCTCTCCTTGATATAGACACCAACTCCTTGATGCCCGTTGTGGCCATTTTCATTTTCAAAGAGCTCATATTCAGGGATGTTGAGTTCAGCTTAACTTGGTAAAAATATGTATGTAGTTCTTGGGGGAAATTTCTGTAATTCCTAACACGTCTATACCATTTCTTTTGTCTTGAATCCTTGCTTTCAATTCATATAATTTGTTCAAAAGACTAATCGAGTTTGTGTGGAAGCAAATAAAAGTGTCCCTGGGCTGGATTTCAGAGGTCTGTCCCATAAAGTGAGTACTTCATTATGCACAGTATTCATTTCACAATAAGAGCGAATATAAATTAGATTAAAGCACCATAACGTTTCAACACAATCTGCTGGAGTCCCCTTAGTTGGAAATGCTTGGCCTCGGTATATAGTTCCTAAAGGCTTCCTCTATCTGATGGCAGAGTTTGTGGGGCTGACACCAAACCATTTCTAATGTGATTCAATATGTGGCGAAAGTGCGTTCCATCCTTGTTAATAGAGAGATCCTAATCCATGATATCCTTTTGGGCCAATAATGCCATTTTTGACTGGGGATCTGCTCTGAGTGTTGCACACGACGTAAGAAAGACAAGTCCCCTACACTTATCTTGGCAGTAACTCTTTCTTGGCAATACTTTAGGAATCGTGACATCTGCAGGCTCTGACGACTTGGAACGCTTCCCTTGCTCTCTCTGTGGACACGGATCCAACCGCTACTCAATCTGCTCGGGCTTTTTGACCAGTGACCGGACCCGGTTCTCGTATGGCTCACTGGCCCATATTCTGATGGACATATCACCACGTCTAGTCCCGTACTCACTGGAGTAGGTGAGCTTGCTGTCCGTGGCTAACTGGTAATAGTGGTGCTCACAACCAACCTCCTTTTCGCTAAACTCATTTCCCTGGCCGTTAACTTGGACACGGTCCGCTTCTTCGGAGACGTTTTCACTGGGGATACCTTTGGTGAAGGTATATGGTCTTAACTGGAAATTTCGACTAGGCATGGGACTTCACCGGGGACTTCACTGGGGACTGTGTCTGGAACGGCAATGTTGAACACATTGAGGCTAAATGTCCGTATAAAATCATCAAATCGGCTTGGCAGTTTAATCCCTCTTTTCCTTCTATCTCTAAGAGGAACAAGATAGTGTGGTTGTACATTATCCATAATGGACTCAATATCACTCTGAAACGAGACCTCATGCATGGTGGACGAGATTTCAGAGTAAACACTAAAACTATCGTTGACCAGTTGGGACTCTGTGTCTGACGCAGAACTTCTATCCTGTTGGGTATCTCTTACTAATGATTCCCTCGGCAAGTCAACATAAGAGTCAAGCAAATCCGCGGGTAATTATTCTGTATCATTGACAACTGGTCTTAACCAAGTCGGTTTGTTTTCTCCCTGATATGGCTTAAGGCGGTCAGTTAAAATGTAAAACCTTAGGTTTCTGGCGTCGAGAATCCTGAATGCGGTAAGTGACATCAGAGTTTATTTAATGTTATAAAATTACCCTTCCATGGCTTCTGGAGGTTTGGACTTGTCCCCTTTCTCCTTCCCAAGCCATGTAGCCATACATCATCTCTAGCCTCAAAATATTTTTGTTACTACGAGCAAAGTTGTTAATTCTGTCCAATTTTTCCTCTAAATCACATGCATAATTACTTACCCAAATTATTGGGCGTTCCTGTTAACCAGGATCAACAAAGACTTAATCTACAGGCAAAGTAGAATCCCTATCACGCATCACGTGCACCTTGGCAGGAGAACCCCCAGTCTTAAAATGAATTAGTGACCTATAGTCTAACATCAATGGGATGTACTCATCCCAGTCACGCTGGTTTTCACTCACAGACTGCTTTTTAAAGTCTTATGCAGCCTCTCAATCAACAATGCCATCTGCCATTGAATGGAAAGGTGTTGCATGAGTTAATTTTGTCCATACCGAGTATTCTGCACATCACAGTCAAAACCTTACTGAGGTGCGTTCTGGCCATGTATATCTTCTCTTGAAATGTAATATAACATGTGTAGTGTGTCTGGCTCACAAGCCTGGTCGGTTCATTAGCTGGTCGTGTGACGTTCCACATGAACGTCCGTACTTTAGGGACTATAACTGCCCAGGTAGGATTCATCTGCCTTACAGTGTTGATAATAAATTCCTTTTAGGCTATAGAAGGCTATTTTCATGAAATTGAGAAAAAAAATGTTGTGCGTGCTCGAAATGTATATCTGGCACACTTTTCAGAGGGTTCCATAAGCAATATGTTTGATGACTTTCTATTTTTGTTTTCGTTTTAACTTTTGTTATTCATAAAACGAAAAGTGTCTTTGACTCAGATAGACCACTGACTAGTCTAGAATCTAACTGTTATGAAACAGGAGTAACAACAGTTTTTATAAAAACGAAATTTCAAAAAATTATCACATTTCCACAGTACATGACAAACCGAGGATAGATCGACATATTGAAGAAAAAGAAGAAGAAGTAGCAGTCCAAGGTGTTTTATACGTTAAACGAGACTTCCGAAAAAACACGGAATTTGAGCTACTGTTTGTATCCGGTTTTAAAATTAGTATTTTTCAATAATAAATTATATTTTTGATTATAAATCATTCGTCAGCCTCTTGATAATTAAACAAGAACACTTTGAAATTGTTGTTGTGTGTTCTCATTTAAAAAATCCATAATTATTTGGGTAAATAATATAAACATTAAAATACGAAACTGCGGGGTTAATAGTTGTCAACCCGCGAGTGACCTCTTCCTTGGCAACGTTTATACTATGGTACACTGTCGCGCCAACATGGAGTCAACCACTTAGTGTCAGTTGTGTTTGTAACGATGAATTATGTATTGTAAAGCCGAGAGAATATATTAACCTCGCCAAAATGACAGAAGTGATGCAGGGAATATTGGCTGAGGCCAAGAAAAACCGATATTCACAGATCAGGGACACATTATCTGACGATGGTAAGATTGACAGGCGACGGAAGCCATTTTCTTTTTCCTTAACACATTTAATAATATCGATTTTATATGAAATTTGATATGCTTTTTTTAATTAGTCTGACCTTATAATGTTACTTACTTGTTTTTCAGATGTTGCAGCTGTCTGGGAGAACATGTCTTCGTTTATTGAGAAGGCAATGTCTCAGCAAAAGGTAGATCTACATGTAGACCATGCAATCATTTATTATTGTGTCACCTTCAAGTTCCTTTTTAAAATACACACTGCAAGCTTAATATATAATCGTTAATATCAGCATACCCCATCGTCACCTTGTGCTTTAACTACTGACACTAAAAACAAATGATAATAATGAGAATGATGTTAATGGTATTTTAATCATGAACGTTAAATTTAACAGTTTAAAGATACGTACATATCTGTATGACTATATGTCTCCGCTGATTTTCAGCAGTTTTTTTTATCTGAAAAATATAAAGATTTGTGATAAATATTGAAATGTGAACAAGCCACCAATGAAAGAAAAAGAAAAATGATAAGTGCCTGAATAGTAATGATAATAATACAAAAAAAGTGGTGGATGTTAGTTTGGATCTCGGATAAGTAGCTGCCCTAAAACTAACATTTATTCAAACAGCTCCCTCTGTTGTGCCATATATGGTTTATTCAATTAACTGATAGTTACATTATGGTTATATAGGTACATACAGAGGAAACATAAAATATGATACACCTTAATTTGAAAGAAGACCCATTTGATAAAACTCCTCAGTTGGTAACATTTTTTTTTTTTTAAGGTTAAGGTTAGTAGATATATGTGTACATGTAGTTACAACCACCCAACATACAGATAATTCAAGAGCATACTATGATTTTTATACAATTTGTACTCTACCTAGAATTTTCTATAGATTCCTGATACTATGCAATTTTTCCTTCTTTTCTAGGGAGTCATTGTACAAGGCTTCGGCACCTTTACATTTACACAAAAGAAATTGGATATAGGCAACAACAAGTTTATTATGATGCAGAGACCTGTATTCACACTGTCCGAAAAGTTTGCACAAACCCATGGTCTACAGCATCCCAAATATCATGTTCCAGGTAAGTGGATCTCAAACATTCTTATCAAAAATAGAGTTGATTACCATTCATTATAACCCTATTTAAGCGAAGATATGTAATCCCTGAAAGAAACCTCATACAGGAACATTTAACATAATGCACAATATAACATGTGGCATGGTGGAATATATGATTTTTTCACTTGAGCATATTGCTCAACATATTTCTGCCGACCACGACATTGTACTTTAAGGTCTGTATCCATCCCCCAATCCTGTTAAAAGACATGCTCCGTCTATTTAAATCTTGACTGCTAAAACCTAACCCAGATTCTAAACCTAGACCTGAAGCATATACATCTCTAATCCCTTCTGTAATCCTGAAAAACTATAAACCTTACTCTAACCGTAACAGTAACCCAGACATCTTACCTTTAACTATTATCAAAAAAAGATTCTGTATAATTTCAAAACAATTTGGACAATTAAGCCACTTTGAACTTCAATGAAGTCCTTTATATTAGTACAGCTATTGATACATTAATTAATTAGTACTTCAACTTCGACTCTTGTGGAACAGAATCGGGAAAAAAAATGAATTCAAATATGCTTTTATATGGTATACAAAATGTATTGACAAAAATAGAAAAATGAAGCCAGCTTAAGGATCCCCGTACCACTGCCAAAAATTGTAACTTAAACTATGCATAAGAAACTGTTTTTTCTAGCATGACTATACCTTTGATAAATCATTTCTGAAAAGAAAACCATACCTTGCAAGACTTTTATAAAAAAAAAAATAAGCATGAAATAAACAGAATATAACCAACAATAGTGAACTGGTCTACCTAGTATATATACAAACACACACAGTTGGACAAATATTTGAAATGTGCTAGCCGAATAATGGTAAAATAATTAAAAATGTTATTTTTGAGGATATTTTTGACAGACAAAATGCTGTTATCCCCTATTTTGCCTCTCTGACTATCCTGCTAACCTTTTTAAAGTTGTGTCTGTTAGTTATATATATACAACATGCATGCAAGAAAACACTTGGTTCAGTGGTGAAGTCCACTCTTCAAGTTTTAGCAAGTTGACATTTAGTTCATTTAGGGCCGTTGTACGGTAAACTGGTGATGCAGTTGGAGTTATGATAAAAGAGAAAATATGTAAACCGTTTATGGTACCTATTGCACTATTCAATAGTTTCGTCTTACCTAGTGTTACCCTAATTCACAGTGGGCCTGGTGTAATTGGGTAACCACAGCCAAGTTAATGACATCAAAATATTTTTAATGCATTAGGTGTTATTTTTCTCCAAGGCTTAGCAAGTTTTAGCATCTCTTTCTTTTGACATTTTTGGTATTACAACTAAAATAAGTAAATATGCTATCTTTCAGCTTGAATTGAATTTAAGGCTTAAAAATGAAAATGTATATTACCAAGTAATTCTGATGCATATCATTATTTCAATGATATCATCAGGAAATAAATTGATGTCATAGAAAAATATTTCCCTTGCTTCTTCAATAGAGACTCCTATAATCAGTACATGTACATGTACTATAATCTGATAATGCTATGGTAGTATTTAGTTTTGTGTATTTTCTAATACATGATCTGTTACGATGATCTTCTTCACTGGACTCAAATATGTTTCCAAATATATACACAAATATTTTATATAGAAGTTCAATTATGAACATCACTGCTGTTTAACATAGTATATTAACCTTGTAAATTTCCAGTGTTCATCGAGTCAGTTTATAAATGTATTACCCTATATACATAATAGTCTTATGTTTTGTTTCATCATTGTTTGCCTACAGCTTCATCTTTGTGGCTGTGTTTAAAAGTCTTAATTCAAACCCGAGGGCATCAGCAATGACTTTGTAATTTGATATACAAGTATATAAACTGGCAAAGAATTTGGAGAAAACAGGGGAATACTTTCTGATATCAAATCAAACTGTGTTCAGCTTTACAGAAATATGCTGTACCATTGCAGGTTTTTCTTAGGGCACTCAGTTATTTATGTCCAACTATTGATCAGTTGACTGTATTTAATGGTGGTCACCTTAGCTAGGTCAATAAAGTTAAACAGCACAAGTCTGTTCACCTAAGGCAGACTGGTGTATTGATGTATTAGTATTACCAAGGGAATGGCAAGGCAGGAAACAGCAGGCCAGTTTAAATGCTAGCTATAATACAAACTGATAATATTCTAATGTTGAAATACCACTGATAAGCACTGCAAAGTCCCTTACCAGACTGGTAATCACTAGTGGTGTTTGCAGTTCATGAACTTGTGGACCTACATTGCATTTGAAATCCTTGTTATCTGAATCTATTAATCTGTTGAAACCTCCGATATTAAATTGAGTCACATCAAACTGGATTATCTGTGCAAAAATGAGACACAAGCAGGCCTTATTGAATTTAATCATCATGTTCACAATAAAACATGCATAAAATGAATTGAACTAGAGTGAGCTCATGGTGTTTAATATTGTACTGTTAAGTGTAAGAAATATAAGATGCTATTGGTTCATTAAATATACTTATTATAAATGTGCTGATAATGCAGATTTTTATGGTACATTAGGTTTTGTGTTCATCAGTGTCTTGATATAATAAAAGTATTATTTCAATATAAAGTTAGCCATGATATAGATCAAAGTAAGCGATCTTATACATGTATATAAAGTCACTTTAACAGGTTTGATTATAATAGTAATTCTCATTTCATAAAGTCAAGTCATAAATAATGAATAAGTTTTAGTGTGTGGTTCTTATTTCATAAGCTTTATTATGCATGGTTCCTTTTCAATAAGTTTTAGTGTGTGGTTCTTATTTCATAAGCTTTATTATGCGTGGTTCCTTTTCAATAAGTTTTAGTGTGTGGTTCTTATTTGATTAGCTTTATTATGCGTGGTTCCTTTTCAATAAATTTTAGGGTGGTTGTTGCTGTTTTCCAATAAGCTTTAGGTGTCATACTCAGGTCTATTGGGGCTCTTGTTTATTGTGACATTGTTGAATAAGTTCCTTCAGTGTGGTTCTCCTTGAATATATTAAAAGGTTGCTTGAGCTATCATAAAAAAATGTTTTAGTTCAATAATTTTTGAACTGTTATTATTAAAAAATAGATTTAAGTGTAATTTGCATTATATAATATCTTTTAGTAGTTTTGACACTTTATGAATATAACATGTCAAAATAATTCATTGTTAGTCTTTATGTATTAAAACAGGATAAAACGTCAGTAACTTATACTATTGCTTTCAATGTTTCTAGGCCAGATCCCAGTGGTACAGCTCAACTTTGCTTCCATGTCATTTGAGAGTCCGTTTGACAGAGACACTGTGGAAAATTGTGTAAAGGAAATTTTGGGGGCAGTGTCGCGCGCAGTAGGGGCCAGGAAAAATGTCGAGCTTACATTTACTGGTATTGGACGTCTGTCAATTCGAGATTCCAAAGTCAAAATGAGGTTTTACAAAGAATTCATCAACCAGATGGATGGCACAGGAAAACTGATGACATCTATGCAAAATGTAAGTCTAGGTTGATAAAATGATATACCAGTATCTGGTATATTTTAATAATCCATGAAACATATTGTGTACTGGCAACTTTCGCCCAGTGAAACTTTTGTCCTACGCCAGTAAGATCCATATTCGCCCAGTGTTGATTTCACTTTGATAGCTATATTATATTGTTATCTAATGATCATAAATCTGCACTCGATATGGAGGACTAAAAACTGAAAAGGTGAAAATTAAACTGCGCCAAAAATTCCCGGTACACAGTTATTAGAAACACAACTTAACGGTTGCATGTGCCTCTTGAATTTTCATAAGATTTTTAAATTTGTTTCAACTTGAAGAAAGTAATTAGAAAGTTATATTTAAGCAATTCTGGGTTGTTTGTCTGAAATTTATACATACATCATTTCAAATTGTCATAAAAATATATTTTTAGAATCACAAACATGTGCAATGTACCTGTGAAAATCTGTTTATTCAGTATATTCTGGTCAATGTGGCATTTGTTACTTCAGACAGGTTCAACTGTATATGGGATGACTTTTTACTTCTTTAAAAAATGCATATAAGATCTATTGAGATTTTACTAATAGAATGAAAAGTTCAACTGTTTTTTCGGGATACACTTATATGTATAATATGCATATTTACTTGAGTTACCAGCAATGATTTTAAATCAGCTTTGTATTGTAATGAGCTTATCTCTCCCTACTGTTAATCCTGTAGTCACCAGGTGGTTTATGGAGCACAGTCTAAGTCAGGCTTTACCAAAAAGGACAAAGAATTACTATTTTAAAATTACATAATACAGGCATGTCAATGTTCTCAGAAACCTCCAAATGAGGGTTTGTCACCCCCAAAACAGTTGGTTGTACACTCAGTTTTCAAGAATTGCCCAATGTAACTATAGGTACCTAGGGGTACAGAATTTTGAAAATGTATTTATCAAATAAACACCCAAGTCAAAAATTCCTTGGGAATACTGCATGTATCACTCAGTCTCTCCGTCTGTCTGTTGACACAATCTTGTCCCCACATCTTCTATAGTTTTCAGCTGAATGAATCTTCACTGATGTCAATGTCATCAACACGCTCCTGCATTTAATATTTCGATCCAGACATTTTTATGGGAGTTAATCCCTTTTCACAAAAGATAGCCAACATAATCTTGTCCACACTACTCCCAGCAGTTCTCAGTCCGATTTCATAAAACTTCACTGATGTAGAACGTGTACGCTCCGAAGTTGTGCACCTGTGATTAAAAATTAAAAAATCTTCTATTCTTATAGGAGTTATGCCTCATTATTTAGAATCCTCTCAAAGTACTGCTCTGATTTTAACGACCCATGGTCACATTTAAGATACATTTTGAGGATGTGAATAAAGTATATATTGGAGTTACTGCCCCTGATTATGAAGTTATGTTCTTACTCCTCTGTAAGTCCTGCACTGATTTACATTATACATGTTACACAGATAAATCATATATATTGGAGTAAACTCCCCTATTTAAAGAGTTATGTCTTTTGTTTAAAAAGCTGTTTTCACAATTCCTCTTTAAGTAGAGCATCTATTTAAATCATACACTGATACTTGATGCATAGAATCCATACATCACAGGGATGTGAATAAAGTATATAAATTTGGGTTACCTCCCCTATGTATGGAGTTATGCCCCTTCATTTAAAAACGTTATCCTAAATGTTTTCCTGGAGATTTTGGTGAAGGCTTGGGATAAAAGTATTCCATCATTGTGGTCATCATCTAATTATGCAATGTATCGATTAAAATGCCAAAATGAACAATTAACCAGAAAAACATCATCAGTAGATACGATTTACCCATAAATAAATCATTGACAGGACAACTTGATGAATAGAAAGCATATTTTCTGTAAGTTATTTATCAAAACATTATTAGTCAAATTGTCATTGTGGGTTGACTGTGTTGACAGAGACCAGGTACAGTGGATTCTGTTATGTCTGACCGCCCTGCCTCCAGACCAGGGACAAGCGCAACAGTCATCTTACCCAAGTAAGTTTGTCAAGTCTGCCTGTTTGAAATCATAAAATTAATTGAAATTGGATAACTGGTCAAGGAAGACACATCCAGTGAAATATTTTTTATTCCAGTAGGTATATTGTCTGATTGAATAGTAATCCCTGTTGTTAGCATGTACATGTATGTTTCACATTTCCCTGTATCTAGAAGACAAAAGTACATGTATGTTTCACATTTCCCTGTATCTAGAGGACTATGTACATGTATGTTTCACATTTCCCTGTATCTAGAAGACTATGTACATGTATGTTTCACATTTCCCTGTATCTAGAAGACTCTGTTCATGTATGTTTCACATTTCTCTGTATCTAGAAGACTAAAGTGCATGTATGTTTCACATTTCCCTGTATCTAGAAGACTATGTACGTGTATGTTTCACATTTCCCTGTATCTAGAAGACTACGTTTTTATGGCTATTTGTTATATGAGTTATTACGACTATTATGAACTCACACTCCACTGTTTCTATAGAATTTCCAGTTCCAACCTGGCAGCAGGAGGTCTAGCCCCTGTGGCAGAGGAAACCAATGAGGCTAATCCTGTTGACCCTGCCTTAGTGGGTGACACCCTTGACCAGCCCCCTCCAGTACACCCATTGGATGCCCAGGCGCTGGAGCCCAGCTATGAGGATCCAGAAGTAACCACACCTGTACAGCAGGAGACACTCCTCAGCATGAATGAGAAACATGAGGTGTTTGAGGGCAGGGATGTTGAGGATGAACAGACGGCCACTGCCATCAGAAACATGGAGTTTAGCGGAGAGAGTTTGGAACAGCCAAACACTTTTGATCCTATACATGCTCCTGTGTCAGATGAGCTGGAGGACAAAGGTGAGTAATTCAATGTAAAGTTTTGTATTGGAACTTGAGTGATAATTCATATTTGAATTTCTAGATGGATCTCCTGTTGTGTTTTGTAATGGTCCAAAATAATCATGGACTTATGAAGATTTTTTTTTTTTTTACATCATCATCAAATGTATTACACTATACATATCTGAATGTAACAACAACACATGACAGGTCTATCTCCATTAAGAAATGGTACAAAAACACTTTCCTTTCACTGTTATTGACAAGGCCCCTTTTCACCCAATGGCAGGCCTGTAGTATGTCCAAAACAATTCTTACCTCATTGACGTAGCTTTTGCTGGATTTAAAGTTAAGCAAAATTTGATATGTTGTAATTGTCAGAGTTTTGTAGTTTGATACCAAACAGCCTCAGTTGGAAGGTCCAATTTTAAATTCAACTGGGTTCTACTGTTTTTAAATAATACAGGCATATTGCTGTACTGGGACGCTGTACTAATGTGCTTATAAACAAACTCAGGGATTATTTAAATAAAACTTTTTTACATCAGTTTGGTTTCATCCAGTCTTTAAATATTGATGCAACAAAGCTATGTTAGACCTGTACATTTCTTATTAATCAACTCCATTGATCTTAATAAAACCATCTCCGATTTCTACCACACAAGATTGCCTTTCACTCCACCCTAAACAGAAATTGTATCACTGCTGTTGGGACTGATTACACTTTAATTGAAGCCTTTTTTATTTTTGCACCTGAATATTTATGAAATTCTAAATTAATATATATAAAAGTAAATTTAAAATGGAAAGTCACATTACTACTCTGATGCTTGTCTATGCAGACTTGATATCTTTTGTGAATGAGGAAAAAGAGAATGAATGAAAAAGGAAATTATTTCCTGTGCCTGCAAAATTTTAATTAAAAATGGCTGGCAAGTCTTGTGTATCCTTTTCTTGAGTTACATAATTTGAGTTCCATACAATGACAACACACAGCATGTCTATTGATCTGATAGCATGTTCAGAACATTGTTGATTGGTCTTTAAAACTATCATTAATAGATTGTATTTATAAAAATCAACAAATAATATGACAATAAGTTGGAATGATATATAACAAGCCGCGGTTTGAAGCTATAGGACGACCTTCAGCATTAACTTACCAAGTCCTGACTGCTAACTATGCACTGTTATACACCTCTAGTGGAACCAGGAAAAATGTTCCCAGACATTGAAGAGCGTAAGTATGGCAGGAAACGTGTGGACTACAGGAAAAGTAACCTCTTAATGGTTGCACATTAACCCAGTTTTGCCTTCAGTTGTGTTTTACTTTTATGTTTGTTTTAATCTCCACTTACCATGTTATTTCTACACATCAGATTCACATACTTCAAACATAGCTTTGTATAGCATGTAAATGAGATTTAAGGTAGTAATGATAGGGATTAACTACATTTATCTGCAAGCATATTCAATTTATCATGTTGTTGTTTTTGTAATTTTTTGACAGTTATCTAAGAATATAACTTACGGTATATATGTCAGGGTTTCAATTCATCTGGTGTTCGTCATTTAAGGGGATTACCATATATGGTTCAGGTTTTATGTACCAATAGATTGGACTGATTTAAAATCTTTAAAAATTCTCAAATAATCAGGCTGGATGCATGTATAGCTGTTTGTCTTCAAAGTAATTATATCATATGCATTATTTCTATTGTGAAATATTTTCATTATTTATGTAAACCATCTTTACTTCTATAGAGTAAAGTTACACTATTTTCTGCAACCATATGACAGTAACAAAATCAGCTTAAAAATGCTGCAGTGAAATTTTCAAAAAGCATGTTACTATATGTATATGTAGTATTGTGACTGTAGTGGTGGAGTGTTATCTAATATATGTTAGATGACCTACAAGATATATCATATGGAGGTTGCTAATTTAACGGATATGGTCAGTCTCATAAGGTCTTCACTATCTTAAATAGCCTAATACACTGTCAGACTTATACCACCGATTACACGATCAAAATTGTCTTATACAGCCTACTTCACTATCAAATAGACTTAAATAGCCTACTACACTATCAAATAGACTTAAACAGCATACTTTACTATCAAATAGACTAATACAACCTACTACACTATCAAATAGACTTAAATAGCCTACTACATTATCAAATAGACTTAAACAACCTACTTCACTATCAAATAGACTTAACAACCTACTACACTAACAAATAGACTTAAACAGCCTACTACACTAACAAATAGACTTATACAGCCTACTACACTATCAAATAGACTTAAATAGCCTACTACACTATCAAATAGACTTAACAACCTACTACACTATCAAATAGACTTAAACAACCTACTAAAAGTACATAATCATGGACTTATGAAGATACACTAACAAATAGACTTATACAGCCTACTACACTATCAAATAGACTTAAACAGCCTACTACACAGTCAAATAGACTTATACAGCCTAATACACTATCAAATAGACTTAACAGCCTACTTCACTATCAAATAGACTTATACAGCCTACTACACTATCAAATAGACTTAAACAGCCTACTACACAGTCAAATAGACTTATACAGCCTAATACACTATCAAATAGACTTAACAGCCTACTTCACTAACAAATAGACTTAACAACCTACTACACTAACAAATAGACTTAACAACCTACTACACTATCAAATAGACTTATACAATCTACTACACTATCAAATAGACTTATACAGCCTACTACACTATCAAATAGACTTATACAACCTGCTACACTAACAAATAGACTTAACAACCTACTACACTATCAAATAGACTTATACAACCTACTACACTATCAAATAGACTTATATAACCTACTACACTAGTACAGCCTACTACAACATTTGACAGACATATATATAGGATCTAACATGAGTCTCCATTTCATATGAGATTTATAACATGAGTCTATGAAATTTTCATTTTAGCGAGCCTCTTGTGAGCTAAAATGAAAAATTTGAGACAAGTTTCATCAATTTCATATGGAATGAAAACGAGTGAAAGATCCTTTTTATCACATAATCAAGATTTGTGGCATTTATTTGTGTAAAACAAAATTTTCATGCAACCTTGAAATGTGAAATGTCAACATTTTGACGTCATGTACTTGTCCTAGGCGTGACGTCACAATTGAAACAATTAAAACTTACAACCAATCACAGGGCTGATAGGTCAAACTACATAGGTTAATACGCAAAAATATATGACATGGTTGCATTCACTGGATAACACAGTACATTATGTGATAAATAAGTGCATATCATACATTAATTTACAACTCATGTATTTAGAAGTTAAATGTAACATTGATGTTTAAAGAAAGAACTTTAACTTGTGATTAACAAAACTTTCCTAATATAGGCTTATCCTTATACTGTACCTAGATTCTTTCTATTGCTCTAATAATTACAAGTACATCTGATTTCTAATGATAGACAAGCCAATCTTTATTATAGCAAAAGGCCGAGTCAATCTGTGTCTACTATTGATAGTCTTTCAACCTCTACGTCTAATGGCCAGGTCAATCTGTGTCTACTATTGATAGTCATTCAACCTCTGCGTCTAATGGCCAGGTCAATCTGTGTTTTAACAATTACTAAGTAAGTCCATGGTCCAATGATAGCAATTCAACTTTTGTTGTAATCATAGCCAAATCTCTTCTTCTTTTTTATTGCCAAGTCAGTGTTTGTTTTATTCTCCAAGTCAACTTGTTCAGACAATTGCAGTTTTTCTTAGTTTTTTGTTGTTGTTTTATATACGCCAATACCTTACATTTCTAAAAAATAATTGTATAGCATTTTCCATGTTTCAAATTGAAAAGAATTAATTTAAAGGAGTTGATAATTGTAAACATGTTTGTAATGAACTCCAGGGGACATAAGACATTAGTTTGATGTCCATCAGCTAAAATCTAGTAAGTGTTAACTTAAACATGACTTCGATATAAATAGAAATACATATAATGGTATTCTTTCCAGACTTTGATAACATACAGCATTCCATACAATCTTACCAGACTTTGATAACATACAGTATCCCATACAATCTAACCAGACTTTGATAACATACAGTATTCCATACAATCTTACCAGACTTTGATAACATACAGTATTCCATACAATCATACCAGACTTTGATAACATACAGTATCCCATACAATCATACCAGACTTTGACATCATACAATCCTATACTAGTAATGGTATTCTTACCAGACTTTGACATCATACAATCCTATACTGGTAATGGTATTCTTACCAGACTTTGATAACATACAATCCTATACTAGTAATGGTATTCTTATACAAGACTTTGACATCATACAATCATACCAGACTTTGATAACATACAATCCTATACTGGTAATGGTATTCTTACCAGACTTTGACATCATACAATCCTATACTAATAATGGAATTCATACCAGACTTTGACATTATACAATCCTATACTTAAGTAATGGTATTCTTATACAAGACTTTGACATCATACAATCCTATACTAGTAATGGTATTCTTACCAGACTTTGACATCATACAATCCTATACTGGTAATGGTATTCTTATACAAGACTTTCACATCATAGTATGATACCTTTATACAATACACAGTAACAGGATTTCTCATACATTGAGTCAGAGTAGCATACATTAATATCTATCTTATGACATTGTCCTTGTTTCAAGGTCATGGTTGCTCACACAGTCTTTATATGCCATTGATTAATACCTGTATTTTTTTTTCTTATTTCAAGTTATCAATCATTATACCAGATTTGTATTGGTATAAAAGTGGCCAGGTCATTATGTTCACAATCAACTCTCAAGTGTTTTACAAGGTGTACAGATTAGTACAACTATACAGCTCTTTTGATCATGTGACTTTCAAAGCAATACATTTAAAGGTCACAGAAATGGAGAGTGGATAGTATATTTGTCAAAGAAAATCATAATATTTGGTTATTCATAATATTTAAACTTTATAGTGTGTATTATTTTGCTCTCAGACTGAAGTCACTTTACCAGCATACATCATGGTTATGGCTTAAAATGTTGGCCAACGTATTTGGTAAAATCTTACCAGACCTCTTTACTTTTACCATCCGAAGAGATAAATAATTACTAGGGCACTTATATGACAGTCGTAAGAAACAAATCACAGGCCAATCACCACAACAAGTAAGAGGCATAAATTATGGTCTGTAAGCAGGCAACGATAGAAAACTACCCAATTAGTAATATATAAATCATGACAAAGTTCACCTTACTATCAGGTAAAATTGGCCATTATCCAACGAATCAATAGAATCTTGTTTCGCCATCAGATAAAGATCTACTTCACAATAGAAGCTGTAATTAAATCAATCAGTGAGATGGTTATTGTCCCAAGGGACCAAACTAATCACGAATAAGCAGGCAGAGAGTCTTATGAATATGTGTAGTATACAGCAGTAATCTTAAAAGAGATAAACAGCTGCCTGCTAGTGGTATACGGGAAGGGTCTATCAAGGGAAAACATACATGCCTCCTAGTATACAGGAGAGTTCTACAAAAGGAGATATACAACTACATGTCAGTAGGGGGGTGGGTCTATTATGATATGAGATATACAACTACATGTCAGTAGGGGGGTGGGGGTCTATTATGATATGAGCTACAGCTACAGCTACAGCTACCTTTCACATTAGACACTTGTGATCCATAAATACTGTCTCTACCTCTACTATTCCTCCCAAATCAGGAATGAGGCTAAACGGGTTGGCGACTTCTGACGTTGCTTAGGATCATTACATATCCTTCATGACAACATTGTCGCTCTCACTTTCAGTACAGTTAAGTATTGGGCAAAATAGTTCACGTTCAGTTGCACCTTGACATAACGTATATATATCATCAAAAACATCACAGTTGTTTTTATCTACTCCCAATACTCACTTAAAAACACAAAGAGACAGCTTTTCTTGCAACAATCTATGTTTTTATTCAAAATGTTTCACTCAAGTAAGTGTACAGAATACCAAGTACATGTCAGTAGGTGTACAGAATACCAAGTACATGTCAGTAGGTGTACAGAATACCAAGTACATGTCAGTAGGTGTACAGAATACCAAGTACATGGTGCATCCATCACACACTTCCACACCCATTCAGTGTTCTTATATATTATATATAAC